GCATCAATGACTAGTACGGTGCGGTCCCCTGCTGGCTCACAGTGGGGTGCTGATCGCTCGGTGCCGGTGCCAGGGCAATCAATACTCCACTGAGAGCAGATCAGCGAACTATAAACGTACCTCAAGATCACGTGCTCTGCATCCAGCCAGCAGCGTGACGCAATTATCAAGGTATGAAGGTAGTTTCACCGCTTCCGATGATTCTGTATATTTCGGGTCATTGACGGAATTATTAAATCTCAGCCTTTTTCACTCTTAAATGGCTTTGGAGAAGAAACGTTCCTCCTACACGGCGAAATTCAAGGTCTCCGGGATTGACTAAGCAAATGAACATGGAGGTCGAGGCTGAGGCAAAAATATCTAACTGTGAAGACTTCTACGATTTCCAGATGTCGCGCACAACACGGTTCCGTGGCGATGTGGAACAGTGAGGCTGAAATATGCAAATTCAGCCCTAGACCACCACGATTATTTGACTTGCCTTCTCGTTAGCCCTTGCTCGTGCTTTCGGACTCTCTAGCACTCAATTTCGTGACAGACATACACACAGACAGACACATAGACAGACGGACAACAACAGAGAGAAGAAACGAATTCACAAAAAGTGAAATTATGGGCCGAAGTGTAACTGCACCATAAAAGCAGGCGTGCGATCACGGTAGTCCCCAACGGTACGCAAATACACTGCGCGAGCGGAGGTGCATTTACGCGAAATCGGCGCGGGCTTATACACCGGAAATTAGGGTAATCTTCGCAACGGTGGTTGTTGCACTCTTCCTGAAGATCCGTTTTCGCTTTGCAACGTAACACCACCAGACACGTTGAACGAAGCAAGCGAGTCGTTATTTCATGAAGAGCTAAAGGCTTAAACAATCCAAACTAGATAAATCCGAGTGGTAAAATTAAAGAATGAACATCGTATTAATAGAATCAAATGCGCAAAAGCTACACTCAAAACTCCATCCGTTTAATTTTAGAATTGTATGGGTACGCTCTTGTTACCGTAATTTCTGGCCACCCTGTATTATTTACTCGATAATGATATCCAAACTCACTTGAACCAGTTGGCCGCCTGTCTCATCTTTTCGCCGGCCGTATCCGAGACGCCATGCACGAAAACAATAGGCTGGTTCTTTAGTCTCTGCGATCGTTCAGCTTTTCCACCAAATGATCCTTTGGATTCGAGATCTCGCCTGCAATAATTAGTTATACCTTTCGATCATATTTCGCAACTGTTGCTGCTTTACTATCCGATAACAGAGAAAAGTCTAATCCCGTTTAATGACTTCAGGTAGGGGCATATCAATAAGACTGAATTTTACAAAACGCAGTTACGCAACAAAGATCAGGTCTCTTGCCTGGATTATCCGATTCATCATAGCATCTATAAATTCTATTGCTTCTTTATCTTCATTTGATGAATGGCTCCACTTCATTCAAAATAACGGAATTTCTAGCCTGGCGCGTCGCTAGCAGAATTTCTCTCGAGACCTGCCGTCTTTGAAGGCGCGATCGAATGTTTTTGAAAATCCTATCTGACGCAATTCAGTGAGGAGCACGGGAGGAGGGGCTACAGATTGGAAAATATCAAATGTAAAAACTTTGTGGGTAGCAAGACTAATGTACTTGCATGCGTGCAAATATCAAAACGACAAATTCTCTCGGATGTACAGAGGAGAGACATTGTTCAAAAATGTCAAGGGCATCTGAAGTGGGCCGCGAAAGGAAAATGTTCTAAATTTTTCAGGAATGAGCAGGCTTTGAGGAAATGCAACAGTAATTACTTAAATTCCCGGAAGGCTAGTAGAACAGGGCCCTCGCTTGTTCTGGTCGACGCCTAGGTTCAGGGGTAAACTAAATTTGAACCACCGTGACTTCTCCCTCTGCGCTGATTCTCATTTGTATAAGTATGGATATGCAGGATATGGAAGTACATAAAATTAAATCAAATGAATCCAGATAGAATTGCAAAGGAAGCTTCTTCAACTCAACCATTCACAACAACGGTGTTCACCAGCGGAGTGTGCCCGTCACAAAATGGATTTCAAGAAAGCCTTATGCCGAGTCTACTTGCCCGGTTCCGTGACAGACAAAGACAGCTTAATTTTTTGACAACTGCTGGCTAAGCGTCGTATTTCTGAAGCCCCTTCAGATTCCCGTAGTTGGAAGGAGTGAGAAGCGATCCACTCTAGCTTAGGCCGTGGAACGCCAGCGAATCCTCCTGTGGCACAGCAATGCAACGTTACTGGAATGGCGCTTTGGGTTTTCAAAATTATGCCGGATTGGGGCACGACTGGGAGCCCATTTAACACCTCACTTATTTGCATTCGTTTTTATTAGGATTGGTGTCGTATTATATTTTTTGATTTCCTCTTT